CATGGCTCCTTGTGGTCCTTTCGCTCCCATCGGTCCTTGTTCACCTTGCGGTCCAGTAGGACCCCGAGCTCCAGGATTACCTCTCGGCCCATCCTCTCCTTGCTTTCCAACCGGTCCCGTCCTTCCTCGAGGACCTATCGGTCCCGTCGGTCCTTTCATTCCTTTATTTCCATCCTTTCCATCTGGTCCTCTCGGTCCTGTTTGCGATGGGCAAGCCTGAAAATATTCTTTAGGAGTTTTTTTTTCAATCATATCATCTCTAACTTAAGAACAACTCATTGATGAACTTACTTGGACCACGAAAACGACGCAGATAATCAATAGGAAAATACTGTAAAAATTCATTGATACTGACATCTGAAATTGGTCGTACGTCCAATGATTGGAATTTTTCAAATTTCATTTCAAACATTCAACTTTCTAATCTCTTGGGAATAATCGAGAGAGCTATTTGGCCCTATTAGAAGATAATTCCGTGCAAATCATCATAATTTAATTGATAAAGTCATAATTTAAAAAACCTCTCTGAAAAGCTGAACTATAAAAATGTGAGAAAAATTTTTAAGGCTTAAATTGAAAACAAAATAAATTTTGACAGGAAATATTTTTTAGAACATAAATTTCCAAGTTCTAAATATAAATTTTTATTTGTATTTAGAACTTGGATGCCTGATATAAATCATTCCGGATTTCATAAAACAAAGAAACATTTCGAGAATGCTTTGTAGAATAGTCAATGCGACAAAATTCAACATTACACAATTATTGACGGTATCTGTGAAAGCTAACGGATCTTTTTATGCGTTGATTTAAAGTGAACGGAAGAAAGATTCGGTTGACTGATAGGAGATCAAAAGTTGATAGAGAATGTCGGGCAGATTGATGAAGGAAAAGAATTAAATTTTCAAGTAACGGAAGTGATATGTGACTAATGCTGATTATTTGCAGTTAATTCATTTTGCAATTGTCCAGTTTTTTTTTGGTTTCTCTAATCTCAGCAGAAACTCGAATTCAGCTTTCTGAATGTAGGAAATAATTCATTGGAATATAGAGGGTCGTTGTAGTGGAAAACTGGATTATCCGTTATCGTCCGAAAATAGTATGGTCTAGCTGGAAGTCGGAATCATAGTGGATAATTCAAATCAGAAACGTTAGATAGTGAAATCGGTCTTGGCGAGATTGCTAACATAATATCGATGTAGAAAATCTGTGGAGCATGAAAAGGAAAAAATTTTTCAGTAATTGAAATTGTCAGTGATAATGAAATATCTTTTTTAGTTGTATCGTATTTCTTTTGAAATTTACTTTCTTCGTGTTTAATTGGAGGAATACGTTCTTTGTTGCAAAAAATTGGAATGATTCAGTTAAATTAACTTGGCATCTATCTGACCTGATCTGTGGAAACAATATGATACCTTCCTTGCCTTTGAAAATTATGCTGTACAAGTTTCATTTCAAATTTTCATTCAACGACTTCAACTAAGTTCCTGAACAGTTTCGTCATCCTTTGAAATTACAAAAAAGTTTGAAAAATTGAAAATGAGCGGTTCCTTATCTCTCTAACAAAATACTACGTAAACAGTTGAGCATGAGAAAAAGTTGTACAACAAATTTATTCGCAGGAAGAAATCGTAGAATAATAATAAGATCGACTAATTTATTTGTCCTCCTCCTATTAAAACTTAGAAAGTAAAATAAAGTTCCACGGTAGCTTATCATTTGTATATATTATCACTGATATAAACGATGAAAGTTGGCGCTAAATTAAAAAGATTCGTTTCAAATGAATGTCAGATTTTCGTATGAATGACAAATGACATTGCGTTGTCATCTGTCACAAAGTAATTATTAATTTTGTCATCGCTTTCTCAGATGTTCCAATTTTCAGCAAACTGAACGAAATTGGAATTATTATTGTTCTTAAACTATAATTATTGGTCCTTGCTAATTTATTTGCTGCATTTAATTAGTGTTATAAAATAGAATATGAAAGTGGTGAAGCACAAGGCTTTCTTCAGCTTTCTTTTCTTGTTTTACGTGTAAGTTCGTTCGCTTTATCCGACCTTTTCAGTTCTCTC